AGAACAATTATTCATAGGATTTATTTGTTGCGGGTTTCGGAAACAACAAGCAGAAGCGCAGGTCGCGGGGGGGGGTGGGGGCTGGGTGCTGACACAACTGTATCACAACAATAAAATGATCGATTGAGCTGAAATTTTTTATGAGCATGTATCTGCATGAGCCATAGCTATCATATAAGTTTCAGGTCAAAATAAAAAGCTCTTAATTTTTATGACTCATCCAAAAAGAGAAAAAATTCATGTTTTGAAGAACTTTGGTGCTTCATAACTCGTGATGGAAATACGATAGAGGTCTGAAATTTTCAATCGAGCTAGATCGCATAGCAATATATATTCCATAATAATTTCAGCTCTATAGGAGCTTCCTTTCGAATAATAGGATTTTTCGAAAAGTGGGTTTTTGATGAAAATCGTGATTTTCAGATGGGGTTTTCTCCCAAGAAATACAACAGTTTCAGGGCTGAGCTTGCAAAGTTGGAAGACCCATCTGAGGTCTACAACTTTATGAAAGAATCAGCCTGGGCCGTCCAGAAACAACTTGCAGCAGAGGTCATCTTTAGGAGTTCATAATGAATATTTGGGCCCGGTCATGTATACAAATCTCATGAACAGATCATGCTAGAGACCTGAAATTTCGGTTATATGTAGATCTCATTGAGTACATCTGCTGATAAAAATTCAACTCTCTAGATAATTTCTATCGCTGACGGGGCCTTCAATAAAATTATGACTTTCACTGAAATCGCGCTTTTGATAGAGTTGGATTTCCGTGGAAATAAGTCTCATAGGAGTCGAGCTTGCGATCGTATTTCCATCACGAGTTATGAAGGACCAAAGTTGCCTAAATTGTGCATTTTAGCCTCTTTTCGATAGTTTATAAAATTTCAAGGGCTCACTATTTTGCGATGAAAATTTTACTGTAAGTAGAACTTATCCAGATATATCTTCACAGAAAATTTCACATCAATCGATTGAGTCGTTCTTGAGATATGAGCACGTCAGAACCCCCCTTGGTCGAAATGCTCATTTTTAGGGCTTTTCGTAAAACGTTGATAAAAAATCTTGGGTTCAATATTTTTCAAAACGGTTTGCGTCAGAATTCATAAAACTCTTTTCTCTATAACATATCTTAAATTAAGCAAGATCTGAAGACCACGATTGAGCAGGTCCGGTCGTGGCTTACATGGAATGGCTGATATGAATATATGATGTTTTTGAAAACTCAGATGATCGAGTGACGATCATATTGAACAAATTGGCTGTCATTTTATTACGAATGGAGTTTGCTCGTAAAACATAGAAAAACTCTAATGCCGCAGCAACAAAATTAGCCGACACAATAATTAAAGAAGCCGGATGAATAGAATGAACATCAGAAAGTTCTGTAATATACGGCTCTACTGGCGGCGAAAACATACACCCCTGAGCAAAAGTCTTTCTTCCCCTCCGCTTATTTTTTTTTCTGTATTGTATGTTCAATATCGAGTTTCTTGTGAATCTGAGAAACGGAGTGAGCACTTTATTTCGTATACTTTATCACTGATCACCATGCGATTCATTCAAGGTTTCACAGGTATTATCATACTATCGACCAACACAACAACGATGTTCGTTGGCAGAATGATCTATAAAGTTTTATTTGTGCATTTCATTGTGAGAATCGTTTCAGTATTTCTAGCGTTCTACCAACTGCACACTCTCTATTAATCAGGCATATGTTCCTTTTGACGCAATTGGGAATTTCAAGTCGATGGTACAGATAAAAGCACAAGAAATAGTCAAACTGCTCTCACAATGAAACGTGCAACTGAAAATTTACAGACGATTATACCAACAGATATAGTTGTTGTGTTGACCGATCGTATGAAAATACCTGTGAAACTATGGATGAATCACATGGTGATCAGCGATAGAGTATACAAAATAAAGTGCTCACTCCTTTTTCAGATTCACAAAAAACTCGATATTTAACATGGAATGCAGAAAAAAAATAAGCGAGGGGCGTAGAGAGGAAAGACTTTTCCCCAGGTGTGTAACACATGGCCAGAACTTTACTTAACTGAAGTGGTCAATGTTACACTCTAGAAAAATCGTTTTATCACCGAATTTCAAAAAAAAGGTTTAGCAAGCTGTTAAACCAAAAAATGATCTTTGCCTGGCTATATGGAAAGAATCTTTACTTCTGAACATTTTTAGGTTCCGTAGACAAGAAAAATGCTGAGAGTTCAACCGAATATCTTGAGGGTTTGATATAAAACCCCTAGAGATTGTAGCTAAACTCCAAAGGCGTTTCAGTTTTTTACAACATCTTTGTCTTGCCTACGGAGACTAAAAACGTTCAGAAGTAAAGGTTCTTCCCATGTAGCCAGGAAAAGATCCTTTTTTGGTTTTAACAGCTTGCTAAACCTTCTTTGTGGAACTCACATATATTTTCGAAGAAAATACTGAGTGCAAGTTAAGTCGAAGCTTTTCGACTGCATCTCGCCCACCCGTCCGTATTACAGACCATAGCAACGGAGATCACCATTACAGACCTTCGCAACCAGCATTAAATAATTAATTACTCCGTAAAATGCTAAATTAATTAATTAATAACTAATGGCTAACATATTAATAATTGATATTTTTAATGTTTAATATTTTTTGTATTTAGTACTTTTTAATATTTAATATTTAAGAATTAATAATTTTAATAGTTAATTTTTATATTTTTTGATATTTAACATGCATCGTATAGATGTTATTATTAAGCAAATGGAAGTTATGTTTTGAAGATGTATCGGACAATAAAAATAACTTTCTTTCAACATTAACATTTTAAAGCAATCATATAAATTCATAGAAAAGTAATTATAAATAAGAGGTTTCGATTAAATAAAATTTCAGGTGCGCGTATCAACCATAAAAATTATTATAATTCTGATTTAGTCACTTGATTGAGATTTTGTTAATCAGTTGCTTTAACACTTCTGACAATATATCATAAATTTATAGTGGGCAGAGATTATGAGTTCCACACTTTGGCCACACAAGGAGCCGCGCTGAAAAGTTTTTCAGTTTGATAATAAACCGATTTTTTAGAATGTACGACAAATTAAGGACATTAGAAAATATTGTATACAAAATATTCCGTTAAAGATGTATTTGAATAACAATGTTTTTTTTCTTTTTAAACTCGGTCATGTTTACTATTGGACTGCATACCAATGAGAAATACATGATCCACCAATGGTAACTGGAGAAAAGCCTCTAATTCATTCTTCAATTAAACATTATTTTCACAGACGTCTTTAAAAAAGTTACTAAGAATGACATAAAAATTTGTCAAAAGACGGTTTAATGTCATATAAGATGCCGTATACGATTTTCCATGAAAGTTAATGACTTTCCGGAAACCAAATGCATTTATCGAAATCCAAATTGAATTGCCGATAACCTAACCGATTAGCAGAATTTTAACAATCACAAAGGAAAACAATTTTTTTTTCGCAAACCAATCCGACTTAGACCAATGAAATCTGAAGTAATAACATACAACATATAAATGTCATATTGCTCAACGTGAGTCTCGCGAAAGTAGCCACATCAAGTTTCTCTCCTTCTCCTCTATGTCCGTTATGTCGATTATGCTCACTATGCCTATCATGTCTACTATGGCTTAGTGTCGAATAAAGTGTTAGAAAAACGAACATCCAGGAAACCAATATAAGACATAAAGTCTAGTGTCGCTACTAATATATCAGCTCATAACATTAGAATTTTATAAAAATTCTGCTGTACAAATCAAAATTCTAAGCAGAATTTTGATTTACTCACAAGATTAAGTATATTCTCATAAGAATTATATTGGTATGACGAGAATGTAGATAATCATAATGATAAGTATTTGGAGAATACAGAATTCTTAAACTCTACTTTCGAGAATTTTGCCACCCCTCTCTAAAGATGGTTAACGACCACATTTTTTTCGTAAGTTATCGCTACAATGAACATGACTGGAAAAGTTTTTCCTCTTATTATCATATAGTGGCCGAAATTTAATAATGATTCGGCGCACTAATTACCATTTACGTAAAGTGAGCAATTTCGCGAGCTGTCGATCATGCCCATGTAAAAGACGTTTTGCTGTATTTATATGCAACAACATTTAAATATTAAAACAAAACATTCAACAGTATTTAATTAAAAAACACATCTCTCTAAAGCTGTATCCTGATTTTATTTCTCTTATTGGTATCATATTAGTATGTTAGATGATACACAAACTAAAGTCTTGTAGATGGTTTAGTCAACAACTAGAAACGATGTAAACTGCCAATCTTTTGTAATTTTATCATTTATTGGTGGCCACTCAACTGCTTTTGAAATCCAATTTCCTAAATATGGCATACATATATCAAGTATTTCGTGAGCATCAATATCATCTGGTAAACAATAGCCTTCATTTGGATGATTAATGCAATAATTAACTGCTGCAACAGCCCCAATAGCTACTTGTAGTGTTGTTGCATTTTTTCCTGGAGCTAATCGTCTCGCTTCATGGATATTGAGTACACTACCAGTCCACCAAGCACGTACATATGGACTACCAAGAAGAAGAACACCAACTTCTTCAGCTCCATCAATAATATCATCATTTAATAGACGGATTTTAGGCTGAAGTTTATAATTATTCATACGATATTCAAATAAAGAATTCATTGCTGAATCCGATGGTAAATATGCAAAATGCACTGTTGGACGATAAATAATTGAGTTATTATTTCCATCATCTTTGTGAATAGTTAATGATTTTGAAATACCATATGCTTCACTGTGTTGCACAACCATTCCAATTATTTCGCCACTTGGTACCCATGAACGAACCTAGAATTATTTTCGTTTGTTTATTTTTTTATAGAAAAGCTACACAGAAAGATTAAAATATATTTACCAAAGTGTCCATTCCTTTGCGTGGATAGCATACTAGATTGTTTGGTTCTTGCTTTTCATCAAAAAATAACATACCCTCAGGTATATTTCTTTCATGTGTTCCCCATCCGATTTCAGTTGATGCTAACGCTTCTTCAACAAAACCTCCAACCGACCAAGTATTTACGAATTCATTAAGTTTTTTTGGTACATTTGTTATTTGTGTATCTCGTTCCGATATATGAATTGTTTTTATACCTATTAAATAAGCTAATTTAGGATAATTTTTTTCTTTCAATGCTTCTTCAAATTCAATACGCTTGTCTTCTAAAATTGATGTTGAACATTTAGTAAGAATATATTCAGTCATATCAATAAGTGCTCGTTTAACAAAGTGAGAAACAAGTCCAGGATTACAACCATGATCAACAATACTTGTTGCGCCATTTTTTTTCCATGTTTTATCATTGAGCATATCGATTAATCCTTTATGTCGACAATGTAATGTTGATAGATATGGATCACTTGGATGTTTATGATAAAGTGTATCCCACAATTCGATTGATGTATTAACAAAACAAACATTATGATCATTACACCATTTCAATTCACATCTCGTATCAAGCTTAAATCCAAGATCCAAAATAATATCATTTGAAGAAAGATAATTTTCAAATATTTCTTCAAAATTATCTTTATCTATAAGTACTTGGTGAAATTTGATTTGATTATATTGATCAAGGTATGGTTGAAGTTTAGATTGTATATCGAATGCATCGACAATGATTATGGAAGTTATTTTTTTCTTTAGTAAGTAAAAATTGATAATCAGTGGTAACGCACATTGGGATACACCACCATAACCAATAATCAATAAACGACGATAAGATGGATTCATTTGAAATGAGAAAATCAAATTTAGTTTAGTTGTTGCTTTTTGCTGTTACTAGGAAATTAAAAGTATCTCAAAGACAAAAATAAAATTATTCAAAACCTAGTCAATATTAGAAGAACGGTGTTTGTCAATCACACAAGGTTTTTTCAATTGTCTGGTAGGCCTTCACATACTTACTGTATGTTGTATAGTCCGTCGTTTTGTATACGAACAAGCGAAAATGAATTGACTTATTATAAATGGTGATTAATATTTTTGGACGAATATTACCCTCCTTCGTATCCTCCATATATTTTTTTCCTGTCACACGTATATTACGCTTGTATACTATTTTTTGTATTCAATAACATATAAAGAGCGAGCATTTACCTTCTTATCATTTAATGTATACTGTATAATGAATATTAAAATTCACGTCACCAATGAAAAGCTATCTACCTGTGAAAGCAGATAGACACTTGTATTGCTCCTTCTTATCTTTTCTTTCGATCACATTCTTGCTCGTACATAGTTTGACCATGATCAAACAATCTATGCGTGCATGTATAATTAACAAAATGTTTTCGAAAAAGCTTTCATTTCTATTTACATTATGTGATAAGCGAATGTTGTCAACTATTTTCATTTTATTTTAAATACATAAACACAATCGGAGAACTCAAAATGTAATAGTTTATTTGATTCAGCATTACTTTCGAATATTGCTTAATAATATATATACATGGAAGAAAAATTGAATCGCAATGATGTAAATGCACTCATGTTGCATTTAATTTATTGATTGATATATGAAGTAACTCAAAAACAAAGAAGTGTGAATTAAAACTTGTCATGAACGAGAAATTTTGAACGCCTTATATAGATTCTACAAGATTTCTTTATATATGTCATTTATCACTTTTGATTTTTCGTGCAAGTTTTATCTTTAACAATGATGGCAGCCTGTTTTTATTGTTTTTCATCGGTTCAAGAATAGCATGAAATACTTTATTTATGAGATTTGATACATAAATATAATATTTGTATTCATTTTGAATTCTCTTTCTCAATAGTGAATTATTTAACTGACTTACTTTTGTATCATTTAAAATGTTGTTAAAATAATGGGGGGGGGGGGGTGGTTGTGGTTTACAAACCTTAACATCCCACAAGCAATACTTAATTATTGTGTACTCACTATT